ACGGACCATTTTCCAATGAAATTCCTTCGTTTGTTCGTTTATTTATCTGATTCTCTTGTTGGTTCTGTTTGTGTATATGTTCACAAAATCGTTTAACATTTGCTCTGTTTTCCGTTTGCTTTTTACATTTTGCCATATTCCATTCGCTATAAATCTAATGTCCCGCAGTCAATTTGGCTTATTTGTTTGAGTGTAAATAAAATAACTATTTCAATTCATTTTTCGTCGAAAAATATTTTCTCGACTCACCACATTAATCCTATTGACTGTCGAAATCAATGGGAAAAGAAAATACATACAACCAACTATAGTAGATATTGAAAATCAAACATGGAAGCGGAACAAAAATGTGAAAAGCATTCCAAGGGCTATCGAAGAAAAAAAAGATTCTAAGAATATCGGACTTTCCGCCTTTATTCCATTCATTCTTTTCAGTGAATACAATACGCATCAGGTGTGTATGAGTGTATGGTGTAAATTCCACAATGTGAAACCGATAATACGAGAACAAAAAAGATTTTTTTTATACTTGCTTTCAAAAGACGCCTATCATAGTTTATAGGCACATAGCGAATGTCAATAGTGAAGAAAACAAATCAAAGCCAGAGTAAATCAAAATGTATGTGGTACATCGGTTTTGATCCGACTTAGGTATCACTTTTATATACTTAAGAAGTATCGATATAAAATCGTCAACAAAATCACAACGTGAGCGAATCGAACAAAAAGTATCGATACAGAGAATAAAAAAAATCAACTTCACAAAAAAGGAAATCGATATACCAAGTACTATAACGTGAGAGGGGGAGAGACAATGAGAATGAGGCCATGAAGATGATTCAAGGGAGTAACTTCGATTTCAAGAGCTGACAACTAAAATACTTAGAAACAGTTTTCTGCCGCACTCTCTTTCGCATGCGATAATTTTAGTTACATGTATAATAGTAAAACCGAATGCCCCATTCGTTGAAAGGCAGAGACAGCAGCAGCAACAACGACAATAGTTGTGGCATCAACTCGAAATGAATATCGTTCATCGTTTCACTACTTGAAGATTGAAGCGTATGTATTCTTAAGTAGCAAGAACTCAACTATTCCATTTTGTATGTCGTCTCTTTTGTCTGTAACAAATGTAATTCTCGTTTATCGAATGCAATGGAGTGAGAGAGAGAGAGAGAGAAATCATTTCAGTAAAAGTGTAATCTTGTGCAAAAAGCTAGAGAATGAGTACAACGACCACGATGACGACAATGATGATGAAAAGAAGAGAAGAAACATAATCGAAAAGGAATATAGATCGCATGAGAAAAATAGGAAAACGGTCGGGAGAGTAGCGCAAAGAGAAAATAGAATAGAAGAGTATGAGAGCCAAAAAAGAAGTACATACAATATCAAACAGCATATGCTCGGTGTGCACATTACTTGCAAACTCACTAATAATACCGTGGTCCAATGTCGAAACATTGTGCAAGAGACAATTTGAGATGGCCCAAATATCTATGTTTATTCGGTAAAAGTTTTAACAAAAACCGGGTATTACGATCTATCAGCATTAAAACGAATCGGAACCTCTTCCGACCCGAACAATCTCGTACAGTTGATGTGGGAATAGGAAGCAAAGTTACATTATACAACAAACATCGCCAACGACGAATCTGCATGCACATCGAAAGAAAAAAAAACTTATCGAAAATGTCGATTAAATAAATAAAAATGATCAAACTTATGCAACATTAACTTGTTTTTCCATCTTTTCTCTATCTCTTCACTTCTTTCATTTGGTTTGACCGAATCCCCAACGAAACAGGATGCACTTTGTGTATGCGCATATAATGCGGAAATGTTAATTTTCTGGAAAAAAGTGTTTCATATGGTTTTGCGCGAATATTTTGTTCTCGCCATGAAATATCAAAATCTTATCAAATCGCTTGTGTGTGTCGCTTTGAATACTCGTTATTTAGTTAAATACAGTAGTATTTTATCTCATTTACGATGTAATGAGATTAGTTTATGGGTCGTTGTAAAACGTAAGCCGCAGATATGTTGTAGGCAAACGGGAAAAATAGAGAGAGAGAGAGAGAGAGAGAGAGAGAGCGGCTGACAGATAGGAGAACGAAAAAAAGTGAGTTGAGTCGCATTATGTACTAAAATCGCATCTAAATCTGAATAAAGGATTTTCGGTATAAAATCTCATTGTTGATGGGTATTTAAGGAGGCCAAAAGCGAATAAAGTAGCCATTCGAATGGTTGTGCACAGCACAAAGAACTATATGATTCTTGAATATCTTCACTTTGATTCGTGTAACCGACATAAATCACATTTCTTATGAGCACATGATTTCCATCGCTTAGCGCATAAAATACAATTGCTGATGTAAATTGTTATAGTTTCGCGTGTACGCTTTTTTTTGTTCTCCTTCTTTGTTTCACATTCGCCTTTCACAATACAGCGGATGCGGCTTAATTCATGCTGATGATGATGCTCAACCAGCAAACCATACATTTTAAAAATAATTTCGTATCATTCTGTTTGCGTCATTTAGTCGAAGTTTTTATTGTTTGTTTATTTTCTTATTTGCCTGCGAACTTCAATCGCATAACTCATTGCTAAATGAATTTATTGGTGTGCAGGCGAAATGGTTTCCATGCGAAAAGTGTGTGCGGTCTTGTAACCGTCATTTTTGGCTCGTGCCAAAAAATTCCAACACCAAATGGAAGCTAGCAGTGTACATTTGGGACTTTTAACTAAAATTGGTTAAATGCACAACATTCGCAAAATTATCGCGCAATAGGATGCCGAATGTGTCATGTCGCAGCCAAATAAATGCGAAATATATTGAGATGTAAAACATTTTACCATGCTTAACAAAGAAAGATGCGGGACTGAGGCAATGAATGGCACAACAGACAAAAACACGAACAAACAGTGACAATGGCAAAATAACAAGATAGTAAATAAAACGGTCTTGATGCTTTCCAAGAAAGCAATCGTTATATTTCCTTCTTCATAAAAATGAAATTTTTATTGCCTTTTTCCTTACATGACGAAGAATTTTCTACACACATATATGAAAATGAAGCGAACATCGCATATGGAATCGAACGATTCTCGCATTGCCGCCGATGTTGTTGTTGCTTTTTTCTTTTCTTCCAATTCGAGCTCGTTTGTATGTTGTTTTATACAAACGACGGAGGAGTTCATGTTCTGTCGTCATTTTTCTCGCATGTTTGAACATAAAATTTTCGCTTCAAATTTGTGCAGATTCAAACGATAGAGCGAAAGAATTCGGTTGTGCTTTTATTTCATTTGACCCAGTATGGATTCGCACTAAAACATGACATTTCATTGTTGTTGCATGCACAATTTAATATAGACATAAAATAAAAGGTCCAATGACCCGAAACATACTATACACTCTTTTTTAATTTAAACGTCACAATTTAGCAGAAGAAGCAGCACCAGCACCAACAGACTTTTGGGTTAAATTCTCGCTTTCTCGCTCCGGTCGCTCTTCTTCACAGCATATAGGCGAGAGCATCATACTAATAAATAATGTGTATAAAATGCATGCATACGCTTTTCGAAAGCGAAACCATTTGCAAAAGAGAAAAACAAGATGAACAAACCAAATGGATGAATGGAGCAGATGACGGAAATGAAGTATCCTCACCATAATTCTTATCTCGAGCACTCACTGGTCTCAAAACTGTGGTCCCTCTCTTCCTCTCACCCGCTATCTTCTGGTGGTGGTTTTCCTTTGGTTTTTCTCTTGAATGCGAAAAATACAGTGCTTAATACTGCTAATCCATTCTCCATGAATTTCATTGAGAGACGACACAACGGTCGATTATGTGTCGCACACATTTTCACATGCACGTAAGCCCCACATGCCCAACTACTAATGCGAATTATACCACAACGTTTTATGTGCCAAAGTCTAAAGAACGATTGTGGAAAAGATATACGATGATGAAAATTTGTAAGCCCGCGCTCGATCTCTTTCTTCCTCTTTTCCGTTCTATCAGTTGTTCTCCCTTAAAACTCGGCTCATGCATTGTATTGTCATTGCCAGTAATGTCGATTGAGCATTTAGGTATTAAACTAAGCTTTTTAAGAGGTCACATTGAATACATGTAACCTGCATTGTTATACATTAATGGCCATATTTATACACATTTCATTTGCTGCCGTTGTTCTCATGCTCACAGTTCCATAATCAACAATTACAACGATGACGACGTTGACGTTGACGTTGTCGATGTCGGGTGCGGTTATGACGACAATGATTACTAGCATAATGATAACCATCACCTGTAGCATAAGCTCTATTCTTCGATTCAATTAAATTTTTCTCTGTTTTCACAGCGCCCCTGATGCTGCTATGCCTCACAATTTAATATAAAAACTTAACTAAGTTTTTGGAGTTAAAGTTGATCCAAAATGAAGTGCTTAACTGTGATTTTAAATCAAAAATTAATATTTAATTCGATGGGAAAAGCCATGGGACAACCTACATATAAACAATCTATATATAAATAAATTATCGCAATTTTGCATCATCAAAATTAGTTTCATCGCTTAATTGCTCTTTCACATTACATATGCATAACTGAAAATCATCGCAAGTGATTAAACTACAAACAAGTTACATCGACTTATTATGACTTAATTGTTTCCCATGAAAGATGTAAGTGCACACACCGATTCATTTACTCACTTTGGCCTACCTATTTCGGTAAAATAATCGGCTGTGTAATTAAATTTTCCGAAGCTCTGAATGTTGAAAAATGTGCGGTTTAAATGTGCATATCGCAGAAAATAAAGATAGGAAAACAATGCGGAAAATGAACGAAGGAAATAGGAAAAATGGAATAAATAAACCGTTTCAACCTACGCCATTCAAATTAATTCTCTCTCTTTCTCTCTCTCTCCCAACACTATCTCCAATTCTACCGTGCAATTTTATTGTTATGAATGTTTCTCTATGGCAAAAACTTACCGACTTAAGCTATTTCATATGACAAATAATAATCTCTTTCGTGCTGACGACTGTGAGTGTGTGGATGTATGTATGTGTATGTTTGCCTCAGATGATGCTGCTGAGATCCATTTATTCAGCAGACATTTGCATTTCAAATTTTAAATTGCTGTTCGCATTTCGAATTATATGTGAGCCTTTCTTCGTCCTCTTTTACGTTATGAAAACACAATGTTCCAGAAGATGTCTTTTCTCTCACTCTCTGTGTCTATTTCACTTACTTGCTTATATATGTCGGATATGGGTATGTCTTTTTCTGTTCACACACTGATTCCACAAATGGTATTTGCCAACGTGGAAATTTATCGTCGGCTAAAAACGTTGCGCTCAACCACGATACGCTGAGCTAAATTCAAGCACTGAAATTATTTTAATAACAATACTAATGATAATATTTAAATCCACGGCGCTTTTCGTTCATTTAATTTCCGAGTTTTGTGGCAGATCAAACTCTTCACTCTATGTTCTTTACGTTTTCACTTGCCGCTTCTTTTTTTCGCTTTCAGTTTGATGTTTTAAAGGAAAGCCAAGTCTTCTTCTTATTATTATTCTTATTTTTTCGAATTACTGAGTTTGTAGTTTTCTGTGTATGGATATTAAATTTTGAGAGTTTGTTCTCACTGTTTGCTTATTTTAGCCGTTGCATTGGATAAATTAGTATGTGAAATGCAAACGTGTCATCGTCGTTGGCGTCGTTGTCACGCTGAAATGAGCGGGTATCATTTGTGAAATCCTCCGAGACAAGACTTAATTCAGTTATGCATAATTATTTTTCACTTTGGTTCCAAGAGACAACTCTTTCTTCACTTATTCACTCACACACACGCGGACACATACAATGTTCCCACTTTTATTTATCTTTCGCTCTTTTCTACTCTCTCTATCTCTCTCTCTCTCTCTGCCTCACTTAAAATGTATGTCTAATATGTGTACATCAACAACCACATGTATTTTAGAGTTGATTCACACTGGATTCGTTTTCATTTTTCTACACGGATTTTCCATATAAATTCCACTAGCTGCTCCGGTACCGTTGTGGTGTTACTTTGTTTCTGCTTTATTTCTATGTCCTTCGTTATTCCCATACAATGCCGGCACAAATCAAAACTGAGCGAATGAGTTCAGCGGCAGAGTGCAACAGCAATGATGATAGAAGAAATTAAAAAAAAAGAAAGAAAGAAAAATAAATGGGATTAATATAAATTGTGTGTCAAGATCAGATTAGTTTGTTCAAGTGAGAGTACGAAGAGTGAATGTGGTGTGTGCCACTTAAGTGGATGATGTATGAGTATTTTCACAGTTTTGCCATATCAATAATACCACCCATTCTGAATTAAATAATTTAAATTGAAAATTATGATTCGGTTCGTTGGAACTCGAGTTATTTTTTTTTATTCTGTGTCGCCTACACCAAGAATATATGATAACATGTTCCACATTAAAAGAGTCTTTGAATTCGCTGATGTGCATAATATTTTTATTGCCACTTGCTTTCGATTTCGTTGAATTAATAATGTCGATGATAAATTCATGCACACGACCCGGGCAAGCCACCATATCACCGCCAACCCATCCAAGCATAAGTATTCAATTCAATGAGAGAATATCCTGGGCTTTCTGTGCCAATGAATACGAATGCGTGCCTATACGATATTTTACCGAATGTATTGACGTGATTATTACTCCGGTGTGTTATGAAATTCGCACCCCTCAAAATCGATTACCAAGATATGGATATGGGATATAGTCATACCATATATCCAAAATATAACTGTACTTCCGTTATTATTAAATCCAAATGGATGTGTGTGTGCCTGCGTACGCTTATTTTTTTGCATTTCATTATTTATATTTATAATTTTTTTGTTTTCATATCGTGCGGCATATAAATAAAATGGAAACCAATTTGGATTTAAATACTGAACTTTTTTATTGGGTTCAATAAGCGGTCGCAACATTGATCAAACAGTTTTTTTTTGTTCGCTCTCGCGAGAGCCAAACATTTTGTTCCTCGTTATTTTTTGTTTTTGCTTCAATTTTGCGCTTTCCACTTTGTTCACGCACCGCAATTTATATGAAGTCAGGCACTATGCACTCCATCCCTTTCATTAAATGTGATAAGCTCAGCAGATATTTCACATAAATATATTCGATCATATTTTGTGATTTCATGAATGATATTCATGATTAATAATAATACAAAATGTGGCGCATTCACTCATTCTCTATCTCCAACCAAATGATTCCTCATTCCGCTCTCCTTCAATATGAATATTTCAATTGATAATATCTCAAACCCACTGGCATTAGTATCTGCGAATACTGTGAACTTTCATCGGTTTTAATATGAAATAAAAAAAAGTTTTCGTGTTGGGCACCAGTTATAATTCTTGCCGAAAAAAAGTGTACTCTTTTTCTATGTTATTGATTAACTTTTTGCAAGTAGTGAGTTTTTCATGTGGCAAAAAGTTTTGCTATTTCCACATTTTTCAACGAAACATTTACTTAGCAACAAACTGAGATGGATCGAAGTCAGTCTATTTTCTCTCTCATTTAGTTTCGTTTTTGCATTTAATATTAATCCCGAGCCAATGAAAACTTTTCGACAGCAAACAGGGAGAGTTTTCGCAATGTACTTGTGGCCAACGACTTTCGGCCACATTTACTAAATTAATTGTTGGCATTGCGAAAATTAGTGTAGTAGGTCGGCTTCGACTTTGATAAAGTTCGAGTAATTTCGTAATCCACGAAATATATTCATACAAATGTATTAATACCACCGAAAAGAATGTTGCGTCAAAAAAATGCGAAAAAAATAACACTCTCGTGCTTGATGTCAAAATACCCACACACACCCATCTGTAGAATAAAATAAATGCATTTTTCGTACAAATGAATGATTTATAGATTTAACTCTCTTGAATCAGATGATATAATACACCGTGTTGCTACACAATTCATCAAACCAAATGGCAAAAGAATAGGTATTTTTCGTTAACTTTACAGACACACGATTAGTGAATAGGCATACACAAGCATTTGTAAATAAATAAAAATGCGTGTGTTGCTCCCTGTGTGAACTGAGAGAGAGAGAGAGAGACGAAAAAAATATTTCATTCGAAAATATAGAATACGAAAACTTTTCGACTCGTGTGCGATTGCCGAGATTTTTCTTTGGTTTGGTCGTTGCCTCCCTGATGGCGATCTATCGCATTGTTGTGTATTTATTTGACATCGTCCAATGTCTGCAAATACTTGAAGTTTTCTTATAATTTTTTTTTCTTGCTTTGATTCGGGCACATTTGTACAGATGTTTGAACAGCAGGCCTTTGGGCAATTATTTGAGAAATTCGTTCAATTCATTAACACATTGGTATGATTTATTTTTGTAAGTCTGTCGCACGCTCCCTCACAACAACACTAATGGCAAATAAGCACAAATCATAAATTATAGCACACACACACCCACATCCTGATATCGAGATCCAATTGCTAAACAATGAGAACATGAAAAATGTCGAGAAAAAAAATGCACATACAACACAATCAACTAACCGTTAATTAATCCAACATCTTTTACATTATGAAAAACATTATGCTGGAAATGGGCATTATCTAATGGAAATTCCGACTTTTTAAAATGTTCATTCGTTTTACACTTTAATCACTCGAAAAAGATTTCTGTTGATATTTTTTTTCTCAGTTTCGTTTTCACTACGAACACTTTGTCGAAAAAATGTTCGATGAATTTTATCACGAGTGAAAAAAAGTGCGTCCTAGTCGTGTGTTCGTCCGTTGCAAACTGATTCGAAATGAATTTGATCATTTGAATTTTGGTCGAGCCGCTGCTGACACCCAATGTGTTGTAACGACATACAACAGATTGCGTATGTTGATGCGATTCGCCTCTCTGCTATCTCTCACTATACATCCAATTTCGGGCTACGGCATGCTGTGTGGCATGTGGAAAATTGAACAGCAGTAGAGCAGCAACCGCACACGATACTACCGGCACAATTATACACACGTTTTCTCTCCATCTCATACGATTTGATTCGCGTGGAAAAACTTCGCCCAGACAATTGCTTTTGTTGTTGCCATTTGCCGTCCGACGCACAATTTCTACCACAGTTCACCATAACATCGAATTTGTACAATGCAATTTTCATTGTGTACGCAGCTTTTTTTTCGCTGACGTTTGCGTTTGTTTACTCTCAAACGTTCGCATGGAAATCGACATAGTTTTTCATCGGAATGGATTCGGTTGGAATTTTGCAAAAGGGGAAGTTTTGTTGATACTTTGCGGAATATGATGCGCATGGCACAGCTTCCAACAAAAATAATCATCACAACGTCAAACAATGCACAACGGTGAATTGATGATGATGATGATTTCTACGGTAATCCAGCGAAACTGGAATTTAATGATTCAATCAGAAGGAGAAACGATGGAAGGCGACACTTTATTTACTATGGGCCAAACATAAAGAAAAATTACGATAATAATGATGTGTATTAATTTTTGTTTTCATTATTATTGTTATAAGTTACGGCTATCAAACTTCCTCTAACAATGACACTTGAAATACGTCTGATGATTCACCATTAGTTTTTCAACAACAAAGCATAAAGGACACTATGAATTTGGCTTTTTTCTATCACTTTACTGCAAATTGAAGTAAGTTTGGTTCACCAACGATAGACCAGGCCATTTTGTCTGGAAATTGAATACATTTTCCGACAGTCACACGATCTGAATAGCTATTTATGTTATGTTTATCATCATTTTATTTAGAATGCCATCAAAATAATTGGAGAATGTTTGAAACTCAAATTGAATGGACCTTTATTCATATGTATTAGGTAGCTTTTTGTCGTTTTAACGTCAAGTTACCTGAGATTTTATTAAACTGTACTACATAAGTAATTCGAAGGAAAATTCTAATGAAATGATACTTGTGCCAGCATAAAAGCGAGAACATTGGTGAGTCGAGTAACAAATATTCGACATAGATATTTCAACAGAAATTCATGAAAGTATTTAATTCTCTTTAAAATTCAATTTATGGTAGAAAGTCAAGGTCGAATAAATTATTTTTGAATTCACTGTCTGCAAATCCAAAAATATAATGCGATACCGATTTTTCGGATGTTTTGCATTACCTCAATGCGAATCGGACTACAAAATAGAGGTTCAATCGTAGGTGTCGATGTTATTGAATAAATGACGGTTCAGTTGAGATTGGCTCTTCAATTAAAATTGGTTTTGCTGAAAATAGCATCAACTCGATGGGACTGATAATTTGGCAAATGAAACCCCCGTTACACAGGCGCATCGTTTTTGAATATATCACGAATTTGAAACAATGGTAAAAGATAAATATAAGGAAAAACATATTTTTTCGCCCGTAAGCGACATCAGATCATCGGGAAAAAAATTATACATAGCAATGAAATGAGCTGTCACAATTGAAACCGAAACCGAAACGCCCTTTAAATGGTAGTATGTCGAAAAATGAGAGAAAGTTCCAAACGGATGATTCCTATTTATCTTCCCTTTGCTCAGTGTGCTTAGCGTACGCGGCAATTGAAAGCGATTTGCGAGCATACAAATTCGCGATGATGATCCTGTGTGTTAGAGTGTGCCTAACACACATATACCATAATTTAAAATAATGATAGACAACCTAATCACACAACTGTCGACTGTGAATTTTTGTCAAAGCTCACTTGAACGATATTCGTATATTATGTGTATTTTTTTCTCTCCTCTCCACCATCCAAAAAAAAACATTCCGTTCGACAAAAAAGGGACAAATCCAATGTTGAAGAGTGGAACGTATTTTTAGTCCCACTTTTGTGTGATGTGTTCGTGAATGCGCATACGAATTGAGCTGAATGATATGCAAACTGGCGAACCGGTTTTATATCGCCCATCATCAACTACAACTTTATCCATTGAAGCAATGGCAGATAGAAAAATTGACGGAGATAAATGTTGATTCAGTTTTGATAAGTAACATCACTTGAGATTTTCAAATCGTTCATTGAGAGAGGTGGGCATTTTTAAGAGAGACACATATAAAAGAGATGGGCGAGAGAGAGAGAGAGAGAGAGAAACGAAACCAACACATGATTTACGCCGAGAATAAAGTGTATGTATCAAGTGAAGCACATTCACATCGTATGAATAAAACATAAACAAAAACGATTCGTTTAATTGAATTGAGCTGCGTAAACATGTCTTGAAGAAAAGACGATATGCTTCTTGTGAGGCACACTCGGAAATGGCATTGCAATTTGATGAAACGGTTGTCAATTTATTTGTATGAAACATACTCAAGATCAATGATTGTTTGCGATTTTATTTCTCAAATGACACCAAATAGGAGCATCCAGCTCACATTTAGTCGATGTTTCGTTTCATTTGGATTTTCCTAATATTGGCAACGAACTTATTGCACAGTTTCAGTTTTAAGAACCGATTTTCTAAAACGAAAAAAAAATCATTCGAAGACGAAACCCGTGCTAAACAAATATTCTCTTTCATGATTAAATTAATGAAGACGACACTCCATTTCGAATAAAGCTACCAAACCATGGATGGTAATGTACTATTATATATATACGGCACATTCATTTGGTAAAACTTCTTGAACTTTCTTTCGCTATGTGCTGAATCAATATTATTGATTTCCGATTTAATTTTCTACTTTCTGTGGTATTACCTTCCCCCTCTCACTCTCTCTCGCTGTCTCTAGCTATCTATCGAAACTTGTATCTCTTTTTTGTCGTCCGTTCAAATCGCGTTTGGAAACGAAGAACAAACAGACTCAATCAAAGCACTTTAATTTCGATTCGCTTTTCTACATTTACTGGACCAAAGAGACAGAGACATTGATTGAGAAGTGGGTGGTTGCTTAATATCGACATGCTTTCGATATGCGTCTGAAAAATGGTGCTGCTTTTCGAAATGTATTCACACCGAAAGTGCATCATCACATTGTATGCGATGTAATTCACATATATCGAATGTAATCTGGAGCAAAATAAATGTTATAAGCGCTCAGGGAATATCGTAAAATCGAATTCATTACAATTTTTTTTTCTCGCTTTCTCTTTCTCTCTCTCTCGTGTTCAATTCGGTACGGCTGATTGCTCTGTGTGCGTTACACTTTCGGATTGGCAAGGATGAATATGTAGTGTTTGATCATTTTGACATGATTGAAGCTATTCAAAACAGAGGAAACATCTTGCAATATCCAAATTTATGTAGTCGATTTAACTTGTTGAAATCCGTTAAAAAATAGTTGTTCATCGCACCGCATGTTTCCATGGTTGTTCTTCTTCGGCGTCTTTTCCGTTTTCTTTTTCCATTTGTATTTTGTTTGATTCATAGTAATCGATGTGTATCAAGGCGTTTAAAAAGTTACTTTTACATTGGCCATATAAAATGACAACCGAATTTTCTCCACTTAAAGGCATCACCATTCTCGCGTGCAACACACACATTTCGAACTTAGAAAACGGTAAATGGCATAAATTGCGTTATGTTAAATTCTTTCATTCAACATGCAAATTGTTATCGATGTGCTGCTGTTCACTTTTGTGCACAAGCAAAAGCCACCCTCACAACGCTCACACCAACACCGAAAATGAAAGGACGGAACATTTTATGGTTGATTATATTTATGGGAAAATTTACGATACTTTAAGAACTTTAAAGGTAACTTGAAGTACTTGAAGTTGTCGCTTGCTTTTTATCGTGTGATTTCCTTTCGTTTTTCGCTCTCTCTCTCACGCTATCTCTTTGTGTGTGTATAAAGGCGAAAACCGACAAGTAGATGCGAATCATAATAAAAGCAAGAGAACGGTTACTGCAATATGCGGCTACACATAGATACGAAAATGCTTTTACTCTCTTTCTCTCGCTCTCAAAACGAACGAACACTGTTCGATTTACCAATATATTGGTCGATTAGTGTGAAGTGTGTAATAAGTAGCGTTCAGTTCGATTACATATTTTTGCATCGAGATTAGATAATCGTCTGTAATCAACGCTAAAACGTATAAAAGTGACACACACACAACACACGGTTGAAAGCAAAACAACAATGATGACAATGAGCACTAGAAAACCATGCGGAGCCCCCGAATTTTCTCAATTTTATAAAATGATATGCGTTTAGTATAGCAAAAGCGACAAATACCATTTAAACACACACACACACACATCCACTTTATCTATTTTCAAAGTCAATGTGCTCGGTATCATCAAGATGAAATGCGATTTCCACACCGAAATCGCATAAATGAAATGAGCGACAAGAAAAAGTACTCGTTTAGTATGATAAGTGTATAAAATATATATATATATGCTATTTTATGGCTCAAAAATGTTTGTCGCATTTCGAAAGGAAACACGCAAACAACCAAGCAAAAAAACTGTGTATGTAGATAAACTTTTGTTCGACTGAATCGTATTGAATTGAAGCTAGAAAAATTCAGCTAAATTTTCTATTCTTACTTCAGATTTTTCTTGGAATCTGAAAAAGTTCCAAAGATTTTACTCAGATTTTTTTTTCTTTGTTTGATTTGTGCGCTGTTATATTTTGTGTTTTTTTATGGTCTTACAAATTATAAATAAGATATATATCGAAAAATCAGTTGAATAGTTTGGTTTTGAGTTTTTCTTTTTTTTATCGTTTTCGTGTAAGTTAAATTAATCAAATGAAATAAAATGGCTTTAAAACTTCCCTTTTAATTTATTAAAATTATTAACTTTTT